GTTGTTGGGTTAGCCATAGCCGATGGTGGCCTCGGTCTCGATGAAGAAGAGGAAGGCAGAGGGGAAGTTATAGACGTTGGCCACGCAGGGCGTGTAGTTGCCGACGTGGGCTTTGTTCAGGTCGCCCCGGGTGTAGGCGATCACCCACCACATGGACGCCATGAAGAGCCAGGCCACAGTGTAGGTGAGGATGAAGATGAAGAGGTTCCAGCGCCACTTGAGGTCCACCAGCGTGGTGAAGAGGTCCGAGAGGTAGCGGCTGGTCTCGCTGCCCAGGTTGCCGTGCTGCACATTGCACCGGCCGTTCTTGTCCACGAACCGCTGTCGCTTCTTCTTAGGCACAAGCTGCTGCGGGCCCTGCCCGGGCCCCTGGGGCTGCAAGCCCGAGCCGCTGGACGAGGGGGGCACTAACCGGTCACCCAAATTTCCTTCGGAGTGCAGACATAATACGGAGGGGCGAGCCAGATTCACACGCGAAGGCGCAGGAGCCGCTGCAAACCAGCACCAAGGAGGTGGGGGCGGGGGAGAAACGGGGGAGCGAAAGCGAGCGCTCCTCGGGTGGGGGGCCCAACTGGCAGGTAGCTGCGGTCTCTGCCCCCTGAAGACCCTCTCCTACTCCCCTGGGACGCAGGCTTTCTTTCCAAGGTGAGTCTTAAAACCGGAAAGTGTTCTGCTCTCAAGGCAGAAGGGATGCAAGGACCAGGAACCCAAGCGGGGGGCGGGGGAGAAACGGGGGAGCGAAAGCGAGCGCTCCTCGGGTGGGGGGCCCAACTGGCAGGTAGCTGCGGTCTCTGCCCCCTGAAGACCCTCTCCTACTCCCCTGGGACGCAGGCTTTCTTTCCAAGGTGAGTCTTAAAACCGGAAAGTGTTCTGCTCTCAAGGCAGAAGGGATGCAAGGACCAGGAACCCAAGCGAAATTTGGCTTCTGAGCTTTTCGAGACTCTTTTCTTCCCCCAGTACCGGCATCCCGGGCCACCTCTTGCCTTGTCTCAGCCCTCCTGACTATCCTGCAGCACACACAAACTGACTGCTTAAAATTACTGAGTTGACATGCGAGTCCCACCACACCTGCCAACTCGCCAGCTCCCTAAGCTGCCGCTACCTGCTTGAACCAAACCCTCCCCCCTCCCGCCGCTTCCCGGCCTCCGCCCCCCCCAGGACCGCTCCTGGTTCCCCCCCCCCGCTGCTCCCGCCTCCTATCTTTTAGCCAAAATCCCTCCCAGAGGCATGTCTGCCCCACACTGGTGCAACGCCCCCTACCCACACCCTCTGGTCTCGAATCCCCAGCTCCGGACTCCAGAGACGTGTCCGCTTGGCGTCCGCGGGCGGCCGAGTTTCCGCGGACACCACCAGGGCGCGAAGGCAGACCCTCAAGGGTAGACCCTCAAGGGTAGTCGGACCACCCCCGCGCGCAAGCCAGACCCGGCAGTGCGCGAAGCCGGGGCACTCACCCAGAGGGAGAGGGCAGAAGGCGTCGCAGCCGGCAGCAGCGGCAGCCTGGCCTCGCACTGTGCGCTCACTGTTTTCCTTGCTCCCACTTTTCCTGGTGTACCACGATGGGCGCCAATGCAGGTCCCCCACCTCCGCACTGCCCTGAGGGTACCGTGTTGTCCTCTCGGGAAGGATCCTGGGACGCAGAGCACGGGCTGAACTGGACGCCGGACCTAGGGGGGCTTTGTGCGGTGCCCTCCTTCCAGGCGACAGTGGTGCTGCTGTTGGATAGTGTTCGAGCTTCGGGCTGCCGGTCAAGACTTTCAGGCTTAAGACTAGCGCCGCTCCAGCTTTTCCTCTGCTTCAGGATGTAAACCTCTCTCTGCCTCTTCCTCTGTCCCCCATTCCCTATAGGCGCTTCGGTGGCCTGGGATCGAGGATGTGAGGCGCAAGCAGGGGCGGCAGGAATGTGGTGTGTGCTGGTGCGTGTGATCAGCTGCAGAGCCGCGCTAGCCCCGCCTGTCCCTCCTTCCCCCGCTGCTCCACCAGCCTGAATTGCACCTCCGCGCCTTAGTTGAGCCTGCAGTGTCTGGCAGCTCAGGAGAAAAGCTAGCCCCTCCAATGAGAAACGGTCTAAATTTGCTCCCAAACCTCAGCCAACTCTCCTCCTCAACCCCCTGCATCAGTCAGAAAGCCCCCAGCAAGCTGCAAATGATTCTCCTGAAATAAGAGAACTACAATATGTCTCTATACCTAGGGCTCTTACTTAAAAGGATGCTTGGATTTGGGGATGCATCATAAACGGAGATCCTAACTTGCTCAAAATCGCATATTCAGAACTCAAAGTTCTGAGAAACAGAGGGGCCCTTATGATGGGAACAGAAATTAGGGGAGACACCAATGAGAAAGCTCCTTGTCTTTTCCGAAAATGGCTCCATTGGAAAGTCTCGGAATATCTAGAGTTAATGTGTGGCTGTAATTGAGGTAGGAAGGCTGGATCTCAATGGCCCCGCCTGGCAGTTAACTTAATGGAGGGGCAAAGTACAGAAATAGCTAATATAGTGCCCTTGAGTAAATATTGGCTTATTTAGCACATTTTATGTTTGTTTGAAAATGCCAGTGTCTTACAGTGTATTCCATTTAGTCCAGATACATGAAAGTTGATTTTGTGTGAAAATGATCAAATCACAGAGGAGTTATAGAAGTGAAGGGCTCCTATAAGACTCCTGCAAAGGAAAATAAGTGCCTAAATATTCTAACTCCCTGCCAGTAGGTACTCCCTTTCACCTCTCTACTCCTAAACCCCAGAGAGGCAAGCATGTGTCAGCTTGTCAGCTCTAAGTTAAGGACTCTCACTGCCATTTGGTTAGAATGTCTATCCTCAGTTACAGATGCTTTTCCTGCAGACTCCCTGATAAGAGGACAGTAACTCTCCGTTATTCTTTTAGGACTGTATAAGAAGTAAATGTGGCATGGGAAATGGAAACTACCGTGATCCTGGAATCCATAAACCCAATTTGAGTCCTGGTTTTGCCATTTACAAGCTATGTGACCTTGAGCAAGTAGCCGAATTTCTTTGAGCCCTAGTTTCCTTCTCTGAAAAAAAAAAAAAATTGAGAGTTGTAACATTTTTCTTGAGTTGGTATGAAAAAGGTATAAGTGTGGTCTTATTATTTCTACTGTGAGAGATACTTTATATTGGATTAAAAGTTACAACAAGGCCAAGAAGAAATTACGAATGAATGTTGAAATTGTCCCCATGCTGTGAGATAACACGTATGTTCTCATCTCATCACTAACTGTTCTTCCTCTAGTTCACTATTACTTGCCAGGCTCGCTTCTTTCAATTCTGAAATCACTCCAGAGTGCAACCCGGACCTTTGCACCATCTCTTTCCTCTACCTACAGTGTTCTTGTCCAGCTGCTCCATGTTATTGGTCCCTTCAGCAATTCAGCTGTTAACCTAGGTGCCTCCTCTTCAAGGAAGACTTCCATGGCATCCGTGGTATGTCCTATCACATCACCTGGTTTCATTTTTTTTCCTGTATCCCTTTTTTTCTAGCTGCTGTTTTCTTCATATGTTCATTGCCTCTCTCTCCGGCCATGACTAGTAGTACAATGTTAGCTCTATGAGAGCAAGGCTTTTGTCTGTCTAGCCCTTACTGTGTCCCCGATGCCTAAAACAGTACCTGCTGCACACTAGGTCTATGGTAAACATTTGGTGGGTCAATAACTTGTGCCAGTCTCTGTCACTAGACACTCTGTATGCCTTAATATGCTCTCTGAGTAATACAGAACTGAAATAATTAAATCAGGTCCCTTATATGACTTAATTTAAAAGATCATGTAAATTGAAAATCCCTTTGATTGTACCACTGCAGTATCAATCAGATGAGTCCCTCTTTCTTTTAAAAACATGCCACTAACTTTCTTTAAATCTCCATTTTGCTTTTGACCCAGACTCAAATGATTTTCTTGCCTTCATTTGGTCTTTCTCTCCTTCAAACTTTTCTACATAGCATCACTAGATCAATTGCCTTCAAATCATATGAGTTTACCACTGGAGTAAAAAACAAAGAGTTACTCAATTATTTTATTTTTATGAATTTAAGCATTTCTACTTTTAAAAAAATAGCTTTATTTATTTGATGAGAGAGAGAGAAAGTGAGAAAGCAAGCCACCAGGTCCAGGACTTGAACTGTGGTCAGCCATGTGGGAATCTAGCACCTTTAACCACCATACCACCTGCCGGCCCCACATTTCTACTTTTTTTATTTTGGAGAGGTTTTTACTATAGTGCGCGTTCGCTCGCCAGACAGAGAGAGACATAGAGACAGAAAGCAAGAAATCACCCCCCAGAGGGGATGGTCATGCCGCAATCCCTTCTCCTCCATTCTCCTCTCGGGATCTTGGGCACGCACGCACACGCGCCCAGCATGAGTTTTAAGCCACCAGGTCCGGGACACGAACCACGGTCGACTACGTGGGAGTCCAGCGACATAGCCATTTCACTAACTGCTGGTTCCCCACATTCCTACTTTAAAAAAAAAACACACACTTTTTCCATTAAAACTTTGCCATTGCCAAAAAAAATGCATATATATATACGCATAGATATATATAAACAAATAATTTTGTGCTTTAAGAGACATGGTCTAGTCTAACCCTCTCTTTGTACAAATGGTCTAACAGAGTCTAAAAAGAGGAAATAATTTGGCTAGTGTCCTAGTGCTGATAACAGAAAACTAGTATTTGAGCCTAACACATAAGGGATTTTCACAAAGTTAATGAAAAATGAGTATGATTAAAAAATTAATTTCTTTGCATCAGATTTCACTTTTAACTCTATTTCCATTTTTTTCAAAAAAACTGTTTTTAAGACCATTTATACACTTCCAGTACCTGGGTGTTCTATTATCCCTTAACATTCAGTGGCAGAGTTAAAAAGATGTCTCGGATGCATGGTCTATGGTCAGGGCAACCTTTCTCTACAGACCAAGATTCTCAAATAGGTAAAAATCCAAGACCTTCCAAAATATGACCTATCTTACCCTTCCAAATTATTTCCACCTTCCCTTTAATGTGGTCTCTAGTCTAGCCAATTTTGACTGCTAGTGATTCTCCCAAATATGCGCTACATTAACTTGACTTGCTCACTTTATTTTTCATCACTTAGAATATCCTTTCTTTTATCTCTGTAAAGTCCAAATCACAGTTACTAGTATATAAAGAAAAGAAAGACTTTCTTTATATTTTATTTCAACTGCTACCTCTTCTACCAAGCTGTCATATCCTCCCATTAACACTACTCTAGTTCACTTCTAAACTCTCACTTCCCCAGATTTGCAATGTGGCATTTTCCATGTTCTAGTTTATACTTCAGCTTAGAACTCACCAACATCCCCCCCACCCCCCGCCATGAAAGAGCAAGCCCCTGAAGATCCACCTTCTAATATTTTGGTTCCATCTTCTAGCGATCCAACCCAGTCTTGCATGTGGTAAACTTTTATTGGCCTGGCTGAACTGGCACAGAGAGTAGGGGTACTGCTGGACAGTGCTAGAAGCCATATGGGAAGACTCCCATTTTGCATCCTGGGTCTGCCAGAATACACTGGCATGCTCATAACCTTAGCTGGCTCTAGGGCTAGTGAAAGTATAGAGGCATGAAGGCTTCCTAGTAAGTGTTGAACTCTCCTCACTTCCCATGAAGGAAATAATTCTTTTAAATGTGTTTAAGAATAATTTATAAAGAGCCTACCTGAATATGC